TGAACGATTATTATAGATTATAGACACCACCGCACAGCAAAATACAGTGAAGCGAACCTCATTGGTCGCTGCCGAAATCGCAATGCATACAAGGTTAGCGGCAATATGTAAAGTGAACAGGGATTGCGCTAATGTTAAGGGACGGGGAATAAGGTGAATCTCTATGGTCAACACACAGTACATAAATGAACCCTGCACACACCGTTTCAAGCATTCTGGCCCGATAAGAAATGATAACAAGAACATCACTGCTGTCGGTTCACCGCCATATCCTTATGTCTTCAACCAACCAGTGGCGGAGTCTTTCGGACCCCAACCTGGAAGACGCGTGACACCTACTCTACCTAATGGCTTTGTGCATTTCTTCATGCCCGTTTTCACATCATGTGGTTTCCTCCAGCCCGGGGCGGCTACAGTGAATAAAGCGCGGTGCGGCGGACAACAGCTGACCATACGCAATTTTTTATTACACGATGTGAATTACAGTAGAAGGGGAAATTTTCATGGACAAATAGCATACTGTAAAAGGGAGAGGAGAGGAACATTCACCTGAGATCCAGTTTATTAATTCTGCGTTTAGAAAGTGCAAGATTGTAAGTTGGGGAGAAAACAGCAAGTGAGAGGGTGTTCCACAGTTCGGCAGTTCGGGGGGAAAAAGACTGGAGCAGAGAGGTACGATATCTGGGAATAGAAACCTGATAATGATGACTAGATGCCTGTGTACGAGATGGACGGGTAAAGGTTGCAGGAAGAGGAACTGCTGAGGCCAGTTTCGAAGAACAAAAACCAAAGTGGTAGCGGTAGAACAAGGACAATGAAGCAATTGTCCGACGATGGGCTAGCAACTGCAGACTGGTTGTTAGACAAGGGTCATCGATTAGCCGGATGGTCTTTCGTTAAACACGATCAAGAAGGGAAACGGAAGAGGACGAAGCCCCACCGCACACCTGACTACAGTATTCAAGAGCACGGTGGATTTGAGCTTTGTACAATAGAAGATGAGCTGAGGTGAGAAAAATTCTGGTGTGAAATATAAATTCAACCTTGCGCGCAGCACGAGAAGCAAGCTTAGTCATAAAAGGGGACCAGCATAAACAAGAAGCTATTGGCAATCCAAGAAGGGAAATAAATTCTGTGGAACGCAGTTGGGTGGAATTAAAAGACAAATAGGGGAGAATTATTGGTATTTTAAAGAAATCGAAAGGAGAGGTTTTAGAACCGTTGAATGAAGCGTGTGCAATGCCTCAGGAGATGTGTTCGAGATCAGATTCTAGTGAAATATTAACTGCTCTAGGGTCACCATAGATATTGGTTTGGACATGGCGAGCAGTGGAGGGTAGCATCATCAGCAAAAGAATGGATCGGGTTGGTAGTTTGGGAAAGGAGATAATTGATAAATAGAAGGAAGAGGGTGGGCGCAAGTAATGAACCTTGGGGAACAACAGCGTTCACAGGGAGTGGCTGAGATAGAACCTCATCAACTCAGACGGAGAAGGTTGGCTTACTGAGGAAACTTGATATCCATGCCACGAGCATTGGAGGGAACCCGAACATGGGTAGTTTCGCCAGCAAGCCTTCGTGCCAAACTCGGTCGAGGGCCTTTGAGATGTCAAGCGAGACCAAGTGTGTTTCTCCGTGGCTATCGAGTGGAGCTGATCAGGATTGTGAGACAAGAGCCAGAAGTTCACCGGTGGAACGACGTGGTAGAAAGCCATACTGGTAGTCGCTCAGTAGTCCTTCACGTTCAAGAAACGTGCGTAGCTGATCAGAGATTATAGTCTCAAATACTTTCAAAAGAACAGATGTGAGGGAAATGGATTGGTAATTGTTGGGGTCGGAAAGGTCACTGCGTTTGAAAACGGTAAAAATCGGCGTTTCCAGGGGGTTGGAAAGGAAGAAGTTTGGAGGGAAAGACTGAAAAGATGACGTAAAACAGGAGCTAGCTCCGGAGCACACAACTTCAGCACAATGGGTGGACTACCGTCCGGACCGGGTGGTTTGTTTGCGTTTAGAGAGTGCAATGTTTGACGGATTATCCTAGTGCTGATTTGAGTTATAAAAGGGTTGCCAGTGAAGGTGGTGTGGAGAATGGTGTACGGTGGAATACGCGCCCTAGCCAGTGAAGCCCACTAATCTGAATTTTATGAACTAGAAGGTTCATCCCTGATAGACTCCCAAACTCAACGGCTTATCTCTAGGTTGCTAGTCCGTTCGCTCCTTTCCCCGTGGGCTAGACTACGTAAACACTGATAATCAAAAACCTCTACTCGAAGGGTACTTTTTACTCGAAAATGCACGGTCTCACAACCACAAAGCAGAACTTAACGAACGATAGCACAATATATACGAACTTTGGACTTCAGTGAAACGTCGCGTCTACGCCAAAGGTGTTTCAGTCTTGCGTATGCTCGTCGGTGGACAAACAGAACCCGTGAAGAACTTCCATAAAATGACACTCGCAGTGATAGGGGCCATTGCGGGTGCTTACTACCGAAGGAACTTTGGACGCTCGATTGGCCTTGGTCATTATCTGACCTGCGTAAACTGAACTGAACATTAATGTTCAGGCCGAGAGTTTTGGATTTGCAGGTGAATTCATCTCTAAAATCATTGATCGTTGGCAAATTCGGTCATTTAGCCATAAAACATGCATTTTATTTAATTATAATTTACGAGACTAACTTTAAAGATGCGAACCTCCTTATAATATATTGGAATAGGATAAGAGTTAAATGAAGAGACTGACATGTAAAATTTAACTCACAATTTTTTCCATCGCAACATAAAATGATATCGTTCACCCAGTCTGCATGATGCTCCATACACTGCATTAATGGGTCCTATAATGGATTAGAACAAAATAAACTAAAAGCCCAAACGACCTTGGGTTTATTTGTATTCCAAACTCTTATCACGGAGTCGCGGCCGGCAGTAAAAAGGCGTCCATTAGCTGTGTCATATTGGAGCGCATTTACACCCGACCTGTTCCGCGGTTCAACTTCATCGCGCATGAAAAATGACAACTGAATTTTTTTACGAGCGTTCATTTCTACATGATAAACCTTGTCCGTAATGTGGTTTTGGCTTCAAAATTTCAGCACAAAATTCAGTTCAATGTCCAATGTCCAGTTCAGTTCAGTTCAGTTTGCACAGGACAGTAGTGGCCGGGACCAATCGTGCGTCCAGATTGTTGTGTTGTCAGCTAGTCTTCTTGGCTTCCAACACTGCTCGTCAAAGGTTCGTTCTGCTTGTTTCTGAAAGGCAGAATATTTAGGTGCCATATCTCATCCCCCAGATATGTAGAAATGAAATACATTATTACAGGAACGACTCACCTTATTCCGTTATTGTCCCTCAAAAGGCCAGCTCCGGGAAAACCACATCCCAGCACAGATCCAAGGCCTCTTTGAAGGCTACAACTGTTGAGCCGCTTACAACATTTTCCGGCAATCTGTTCCACAAGGGTACCACCCGATTTGTGAAGAACCTGGCCCTCAGCTCCAACCTGGAGTGCTCTCTTAGCAGCTTAAGACTATGTCCTCTGGTGCCGCACCCTGGTGCANACAGGTTATTTATCTGTTATCAGTTAGCTTAACTGAATTGGATGACAGGTCAGGTCAGGTCAGGTTGCACAGGACTGGTAGTGGTCACAGGCCAATCAAGCGTCAGATCAGGTCAGGTCGGGCACAAGACTTTCGGCTGATGCAAAGTCGGTGGTGTGCTCACTAGTGTGCATCCACCTCTTCAAACGATCGGTTTCTTCGCTTATCTGCAAACAGAGAGAAAGAGAAACCTTACTTCTCGCCGTGTCGGCGAGAGACTTTTAATGTGAATGCGTTCCATATGACATACAAAAAATAAAAAGTTATGAACCTAACGGTCGCATTCTGTTCAGTATTCCTCGTTCGGAAACAGCTCTAACCACCTCTTATCCAAAGCCAATTTGAAGGCGTGGATATTAGGCAAGTTGACTAGTTCCTCAGGTAGTCTATTCCACCTATTTACTATTCTANTTGCTGAAGTCGTTGGACCTCACACTTAACCTACTCTTTTTCTCCATCAGTTTGTGCCCGTGGCCCCTGGTACCAGCATACGGGGCATCAATGGAGAGTTCCTCAGGGGGAATCCTAGAGAACCCCCTCCTAATTTTGAACGCTTCTATGAGGTTTCCTCTAATTCGCCTCCGTTCTAGCGAGAATAGATCGAGGTCCCTTAATCTTTCCTGGTACGATTTACCCCTCTATCCCTCTACCATTTTTGTAGCTAGTCTCTGCACTTTCTCCAGGCAGGCAGCGTCATTTTTGTGCAGGGGTGCCCAGGCTTGGGCACAAAATTCTAGATGAGGCCTTGCTATCGCCTTGTATAACGGGACGAAGATTTCCGGTTT